CTCGATAAAAATTCAAAGTTATTACAGTTCATCCTCAGGGGGACATGAATATGTGTACCACATTTTGTCGCAATCCATCCCATAGTTCAAGAGACATTTAGCTCACAACCACATAAGTCAACCTCATGATGGCACTAGAGGAAAGATTCAGTGATCATTAACATTATTAGGATTCACCCTGTGGGGACCATGAATGTCTGTCCAGAATTTCCTGACAATCCATCCAATAGTTGTTTATATTTCAGGCTATATAATATAGCTGTGAACTGTTATAGCCCACAGGGATCCTTTACTAATACAGTTTGTTTTGGGTCAGATCTCTATCTGCTGTTTGAATGTTTGCTTTAATTTTGGTGCTATCTTGCTGTATTTGTCTGCCTTTTGTCCACACCATGTCTCTACATGAAGTCTCTCTTCTTCTCCTTGTTTGTAATTTGTCATGGGACTTCAAATTATCATTGACGTAAACAATCTACTGTCTGTGGTGAGCGTCTTCTCAGTATTTGCTTCCGCAACTTAAGGGCAGAAGGATGTGGAAACCCCCATACAGCACCTGTGAACCAGCAACTTCCTCTGCTCTGGTTTTTGCCCCGTTCTCTCCATCAAAACTTCCCCTTCACCAGACAGACTTCCTGGTGATGTATGTAAATGATGTACCATGTGGTACATCCTCTTGGTGTTTCACTGAAGAACACCGTCAGCACCAAACCCTTAGTTTCAAGGTTTTGGAGTAGCCATATCCTGACCGATAGCTTTCTGAAACCTCTGTCTCATCCAGAGTGAAACCAAACTCATTTTTATCTCAAAACAACAAAGTGATGCAGTACGTAGTATTACTATGGCTGTTATGGTTGTCTTGTCAAAGATGAAAACACTATCATCTGCTGTTATACTCCATAACATTAATTAAAGCCATAGTTCACTCATAGTACAACTTTATTTTGTTCCATGCTTTTGTCTCTTTATTGATCAAAAGAAGGAAAAATATCTTGTGTACATGACAAGCGTCATTTGCAAGACTGATGAATAACTTACTGCTAAATAAAAAATGACCTTTAAGGAATAGTTCCACATTTTAGGAAATACATTTATTCACTTTCTTGCCCAGAGTTTAAACCTGGCGCTACAGCCTGCAGCAAGTTAGCTTAGCTTAGCATAAACCACACATAACCCACCGTAAATCCATTATTACTCTTTGGTTATTTAGCAGATTATACAAATGAGATATAAAGTGCTTTGCTTTAGATGTGCTGTTGGGGAGATTTTGTTACCATTGGAGGGAGTCAGGCTAGATGTTTCCCACAGATTCCAGTCTTTATGCTAAGCTAAGCTAACCAACTGCTGGCTGCAGCTTCAAATTTAGCGTAGCCTACAGACACGACAGAGGTGTCGATCTTCTTTAACTATTGGCAAGAAGTGTAAGATTTACATCCCAAACTATTCCTTTTATAAGGCAACCTGGTTAATATAATGGTATCAAAGTGATGACTTTATTCTGATTAATTAAATCTACATTTAGTTAGTCTTCAGTTTATTCTGTGTGTTTGCTTTATCGTGAACTGAATTTCTCATAAGCGTTCTCAAGGACATTATAGTTCTTTTCTGGGAGGCATCCTGCAATAAGGCTTTTTAAAGCTGTATTATGCTCTCTCTCACATGATGAGTGTCCTCCAAAAAGCATTACGTTACAGATCATTTCCAACTGCTTACCATACATTTGTAAAACACTGCCTTTAGTTGTAGGATATATGTTTGGTCACCTTCCTCATGGCTTCTCTGTTGTGTCCTTTATTTGTTTTACACCCCAGTGAATCAGTAACATTTGAATGAAAAGAGGTGAACTGATTTTTTCTTGTGAACACAAGACCCATCGTGACAGTTCCCCAGCACAATGTCTTCTGATCCGAGTCACATTGCACTATGTGACTGTTGTTTCACAAGTATGCTAATGTACGCAAAGGGCACTGACCGTGGAAGGAAGACAATGGGCTTAATGACTGCATGGCCAACTACAGTAAAGGATTAAAGATGGGAGGGGGGGGACACACCAAAACATACCCAACACTGTAGACAACAAGAAGAGGATTAAGAATTTAACGTCGAACAATAAGCTGACTGTAAATAAAGGTCAGGGAGCTGACTAAACAGTGAGGGATCATGCTGCTGAGGCCTCATTGTCTGCTGGTGAACCCTCAAATATGACAGTGTATAAAGGCCACTTGACACGCAGATTAGTAGGGCATTAGGGAACTGGGCCACAACCCTAATTGACTATTATGCATCCCGATGGGAGAGACCAAAAATTTGCTCAGCATGTAAAAAAACAATATGAGTTGTCAGTGGAGGAGCAGATCATGCAGTAATTATAATTATTTTTAATTTAGGGACTGTATGTAAACTATTAGGTGGGTTAGAAAAGGGAATGGCTACTTTCTCTTAGAACATCAAAATAGTTTTTTTTCAAAAAAATGACAGTAGTCAACAATCATGTCTCTGCAAGAGGGCTTTATTTTCCACTTCACAATTACAGAAACAATAGCTAATAAAACTATAATATCGGTTTTGAGAAACGGATTTTGATGTAGATCTTTCTAGTTAGTAGGGAGTGAACATTATCTCTCAAAACCTTCGGGTTCTTATGCTTTTGGAAATTGCTATGTCAACCCATAATGGGCAATTTGCACACTGTAAAACATTATTCCATTAATGAGACTAGACGGACAAATAATTTTGCCCTGCTGACCACGGCTTCAGATCAGTTGTTTAGCTCAGGAGGGCAGGGATGTATTTTATTATTTACTTTGGAGGACTAGTTGAAATATTGTTAACCTGAGGACGGTCTTACTTTTTAAAAAGTAAAATATAACCACCTCCTAACCAAAATATTTTTCATGCAGTCCCTTACCATTCAGAAACTAAAAGTAAGTCCAAGGTTGGATTTTATGGACTTCTGTGAAACTCATAAACACACTTGGGTGCGTTTGGGGAACTTGTTTTGTTTGCTTTGAGCCTTATGCCGAGCTGCCTTGAAATGTTGATACCCCCCCCCCCCCCCCCCCCATGTGAAAATAGCTTTTTCCTAACCAAAAAACATTCCTCTGTGGTGATGTAATTACTTCTAGGCGACTGCTGTCACACACAGTGCACACAAAAAATGATCCCCTCCATCGTCACTGCTACCTGCTTTGACATTATTAAAACATCATAAACCACTTGCAGAAATATTGCCTACATTTGCAGAGTTCGAGCATGGAAAACAAGTGTGTCTGTAAAACCTGGAATACCCTTTCTTACTGAAGGACGTCGGTCGCCTTGCAGGCCTCTCAGATGACTTCTATACTGTGTCACTGAAAAGCTATGCAACAATAAGGCTGCTGTCCATGTAACATGTTTGTAACAGAGAACCTACCAAGGAAGTAGAGAATCTGTTTCTCAATTACAATAGGAAAGAAGAACCTACAGTATTTCATAATAGTTAAGGAAAGAAAGAAATGTGTCATAACGGGTTGTTGGAAGTGTAATGGGAAGCAAACATGATGTAACAAATAAAAGGCTATTGAGGAGTCATTCAGAAATTAAAATAAAGATACTAAGAGTTTGAAGGGAAAAAAGGAAAGAAGTACAAAGAAAAAAGCAATGAGTGAAATATAATATATAATCTGCTTTCTATAGATGGGAAAATTTAAAATAAACTGTTAAACTAGGGATAATTTCCAATATCGCTTAATCTTCCAATGATTTGTCCATACATCACTGATGATTCAAGGACAAATCATTGGAAAATGCCTATCACAAGTCCAGAGAGTCCAAACTGGCATATTTAAATGCTTTATTATATAAGAGTCCAAAACCCAAATATATTCCGTTTATTATATAAAAGATCGAAAACTGTTGCCTATTAATTGTCTGTCAATCGATTAATTCTTTCAGCTCTTTTACACCTCTATTTAGTTTAACATCAGACTAGAGCTTTTATTGGTGGACCATCATTTCACTTTCAGAAGCCCAACAACAAGCAAATACTTCAAACGTGTGCTGATACATGTATATGTTTCATTACATGGCTGTAGTATCAGAATAGGAAAACAATCTCATGTGTCTGTGGTTTAGGATTAAATTAGATTAGGCTTTTGGATCAGTAAAACATAATTCATTTTCCTTCTAGCTTCATTTAAATTCTGGTTTATCATTACAAGACACAAGTAAATTAAGAGGTCAAAAAGTTATGAACTGTGAGAGAAATAGTGGTGTTTCCTTTTCACTTCTATTAGCAACCAAAGTACAAGATCATGGCATTCAGGTGCGTTTCAGTGCCTTTTCCCACTTCATAGCTGTATATACTGTATACTGTAATACCAAATGGGGATGTGGTAAATTTGCAGGAGAAGTCAAAATGGAGTTGTTTGACCCAGTTGGGAGTCACGTTGCATTTCAACGTGACTCCGAGGGTGTGGGCTCCTGGCCAAAATAAAACGTGATGCAAGCACAACACGAGAATGTGTGTCACATTTAAGGGAGAAGAGGAAATGGCCGCCATTGCCAAGATATTTGACCTACTTCTGCTCGCGCTGAAGGAGAAGCAAAGCAAAAAAGGCGCAACAGAGAGCGGGAGCAACAGGTTTGGAACAGGAGCGCACACACAGACCATAAACTGTATATAAAAAGACATACGGAATCAGGGGAATTCAGCATCATGATAACCGGGTAAGAAACTATTTACAGTCATGATTAACACTTGTATAAAACAGCATTAAATGCAGTTGTATAACTTTTTTTCCTTTAATGTATTTTGGATATTTTTCTGCGCAGTTGTGCAGAAGTGTGGATGTAGCTCGTGTTGCGTTTAATTATGGTAAGAATTATAAAGATAGCGGCTGCGCTCCAACAATGACTGTTTTGATGCGAACCACGTGACTCCTCTAGTAGGACGTCTCCTCCCAGTCTCCTGAGTCCTTTACAAACAAGTCGCAGATAAGGGGATAGGGACGGCCCTCTTGTGGGTAGTGTCTCTAAAACAGTTCAGCGTGACACTGTTTATATCTTCGGGGCTGTCAGGAACACCGTTCACTCCTCTGACTTTACGGGGTGAAAAGTGCGTAGCTATACTTTGTGGACGAGACGCTCGAGTCGTGCAACTTTTGAAAACTTGAGAAACTGACGCTGATGGTAAGATGGAAATATCTGTTTTTGCTGACGATATATTTTATAATTGTTTCATATATTGTTATTAAGTCGCTTGTTTAGGTGTATTTTGTAATTTGTAATTTGGTCCCGATAGCCTACTTGTAACGTAAAGTTAATGCTGTTATGAATGATTTTCACCGCGTTGCCAGACGTTAATTGCCTACACATTTAAAATAGTCAATATCTGTTGAAAATGTTAAACTGGAAATGTTCGTAATATTCAGACGAGTACTAAATGGTTGTTGTGTGTAATATGAGTTTGTAAGTAGCCTAACTTGAGAAGGGGACTGCTTGTGTGTCGCATCTCATTGACCCACATCCGCACTGAATCTGACTGCGTCACCAAGTTTTTCCTCCACACTCGAGTGTTGCAACGCCTATAAGTGAACTTTCTGGTGTTGTTTTATTTAAGATGCACGGCGATTTACTATGGCTAAAGAAATAGCTGTTGCATTTAGAATTGTAGCCATTTTTTGGTGAGTTTGGGGCAAGATATGTTGGGTTCTCTCGGTGTTTTTCTGCAAGTGGCGACACCGAGAAAGTGGAAACCCGATCTGCATACCGCGCCCACTTTTCGACACAAACAACTTTCTCTCGGAGAGAGCAACGAAGCAATCAGCCTATTGTTTTGTGTTGTCGCATCATGATATTTATCCAGCTCTGAAGGACACATAAAAGCGAAGAAACTGAAGTTGTGCGGGTTTAATTTATAATTAATAGTGATTTGACCAAAGTGCGCGCTTAAGAAAATGTTGAATTGGTCGGCTGATGTGGTTTTCATCACATGGTTATTAGCAGTTTATATGAGGAGACAGTAAAATTATAGGCAGTTTGACTCGTGAAAGTGCTCCAACTACCTATTTATTTTGTAGGTATCAAACAATTGCGCAACGATCTGCTTCTCCTTTGAAGACAGAGGGGGCCGACAGGGTCCCTTCAGCCCCCTGAGGTGTTTTTCGAAGCCGGCCTTCAGGTTGATTTTGGGCTTACATGATGACATGGTGGTATTTCTGGAAGTCACCCTGCACATTTCTCTTGTGGCAATTTTAAAATTTGAAAGTAACCTATGATAAACACCACCTATACAAGTGAAAACTGTGCTAACATATCTTATTTTTGGATTATTTAAAATTACTGGAAAGAAGTGTTTCCTGTGCAATGTTGCTTGCTAGGTTGGGGCCCCACACCCCTTACCCCCAAGTTACTTCATGATAATTTGATTACATGCAAGCATAATTAGCTGAAATATTAAAGGTATAATAACAATTTATTGACAAAGGGCCCATATGCAAGATAAAAAATAAAATGCAGTAGCCACCTTAAGGCCCGTGTCAATTTAGTTTATACTGACTGTTAGTGATGCATATTACCACACACATTTGTAATTAATCCTGTTACAGAAATGTGGACCAGTTTGCAGCATTTAAGCTCAGGGAAATACAACGTGTCAGACCATAGACCAGACCTATAGTTACTGTAACATATCATCTTTTACTGTCTGCACCCAGCTGATACAGCACTGAGCAGGCAGTTTAGTGGGAGATTACAGTCAGCAGGGGAATGTGGTTATTATCCACCTACATGGAAAACAATATCTGACTATTCAGTGGTAGTGAACGTTGTGATACGATAATAATTCAACAAACCTGCTTTTGTCAGCAGCTGGGGTATGTTGGAAACAGTCCTCACAAGTAGCCCAAACCATCTTTTTTTCTCTGTGTGACCCGCTGACCTTCACTGTCGACCTTTGACCGGCAGACACCAGAGCAGGTGGAGAGTCAGGTTCCCTTTGGCATGGCAGTGCAATGAATTTAGTGTTGGTTCAGTTACCTCTTGCTGCAGTAATTACTGAGCAGGTTAGGGGCACACGTGTATTTGATCAAATAAAAATCAAAGGCGCTCAAGAGGGCAGATACTGGTGCTTTGTGGGTGGGTGGGCACTTAATAGCTTGTATGCAATCAATGCCTGTTAAAACCCACATTACACCTCACTGAAACTCTGCAGAGCCAACATTCAACCTCTGCCCTTCCTTAACACTTTCTGTGTTTGCTCTCTGACAGGGAAATAGCGATGGCCTCTCCATCAACATCAACAACAGCAGGACAAGATATGACATCTGACTCAGAGCTCTTACGCCTGGGGGGCATCGAGTCCTTGAAACTGAAGGTGGGGCCGGTGCGGAGGAACCTCTTCGGGCCCGTGGACCACCAGCAGCTGCAGCAGGACTTCCAGCGGCTGCTCTGCATGAACGTGGAGGTGGCCAACAAGCGCTGGAACTTTGATTTCCAGAGGGAAACACCGGGAAAGGGCTCCAACATCCAGTGGGAGGAGCTCAGGTGCCAGGACGTGCCAGCGTTTTACCACAGCTGCACGGTTAGGCCAGTGGCCCTGCCAGTGGGCAAAAGGCGGACATCGTCTTCGTCAGGCGAGGGTTCCACAGAATCCTGCAGCTCGTCTGGGGATGAGTACCTGGAGGTGACCGCCAGGGGGTGCTATCGGCTCAGACGGCAAGGAAAACGCAGACAGTCTGCCATCACAGGTCAGTCTACCAAATATCTTGAATAAAGCAGTAGTTTAACATTTGGCAAATATGCTTAATCACATTCTTGCCAAGAATTGTTTTCAAACTTTGTTTTTTGTACGGATTAAGCAAACAGGATAAAACTTGTTAATCACTGAGCTTTAGAGGTGCTGGTAGGCAAATGTTGTTACCTTTGGACAGAACCAGGCTAGAGGATTCCAATCTTGGTGCTAAGCTAAGCTAACCGGCTGTGGGTGGTAGCTTCATATTTATCATACAGACATGAGAGTGGTATCAATCTTCTCATTGAACGCTCAGCAAAAAGCTGAATAAGTGCAATTTCCAAAATGTCAAACTTTTCCTTTCACACTGCAAGCTGGTCTGAACGTGTTTTTGCTGACTTTATATTGTCTTCTTTCACTCCAGATTTCTTCAAGGTGAAGAAGAGGAAGCTTCTGCATTACAAAGCGTCTTCTCGGCAGTAGAAAAGCACAGCTACTCCCAGTGAATGATCACTTAGTGGTCGATATCCCTCTACACGTCACCTCACATAGATATGTGTCATATCATATGTATATATGTAGCAATCAGACTGTCAAGCTCACACAGCATGGGCTTAAAAACTTTTCTGACACCACATAACTAACTTTCAGCACAAGGAAGCTACCATTGTAAGTAATAAGTGACAAGTTAATCAAGCTCAGATTTTAGAAACGGTTTTTGTTGATAATTAGAAATATTCTATATACTGTTTTCCTCAGAGTATACTGTGAAATTATTTTGAATGCGCTCTTAATAACAGGCTCTAGTTTTAAGAGGTTAGTTTTCTTGTGAATGGGCCTTGAAAAGTATTTCACCTCAGTCCTCAACCTTTTTTCTCCCTCTTGCTAAAAGTCATAAGAGGTTTTGATTAGACGAGTTACTATTCCTGGCCTCGCACCACACTTAGCCTTTAGTCTCACCCCTCGGCTCCCAAAGCTTGAGTCAAGCCAGGGGTCAAAACCTCACCCAGGGCTCAAAATCTGGCAGCGCGACTGTGATTAGTTTGAGGTTAAAGGTCAACGGTGGAGGTTCAGCAATGATGTAATTCAGCAGGACCTGTACGACTTCAAAAACAACGTCGTGGAAACCTGTGCCATTGTCCCCGAATCACGTGGTAGACTATAATTCATTGTGGCTCATATACACTCCACCATTGCCACTTAAAAATATAGGCCATACACATTTTACACCATCAAAACACAGCAAGAAATATACAAATTTCAAACTATATTTCTTTATTGCTTTGTATTATTAGCATAACGGGGTTGGAAAGACCAATTTATTTTGGCAACAGACCAGGACTTACCTTATTTAGTTTTTATCAGCTGTATGCTTTTAAAAATGTAGCATTTTCTACTCCTTGTCTTCATGTCTTGTCCACCTTGTAGGTTTTAAGTGCGCCTCTTTTCTCCATGAAGGGAATGTAGTGTTTTATCACTGTGTTGTAGCTCAGAGGAATCCAATTTTTTAATTTTAATGCCAGCTGCTTCACATTTTCTGCCGCCTTGCAGTCCTATAAGTGTTTGCATAGTCTGTACGTGCATATAAGTGCCTGTGTATAAATGCGTTGGTTTGGTGTTTATCTTGAGGTTTTCCACGAGTTGTAAAAGTCGTGGCGGCTGAGGCAGTTGAACCAAAGAGGAACTGCTGTGCCATTAAATTGGTAACACATAATTTATACAGGTCATTCACTGTTTGAGTGATCATTCATAGGCCAGATCTCAAACATGTCAGCATGCTCAAATATATAAAGTGTAAAGACTCAAATAGGACGTGCCTCCTTTTCCCCCTCCCTACAGTCATTCTAATTTGTATATGGATAAAAAGCCATAACCTGGATAAATCCACTCTTACTACCTCATCAGGAAAATAAACAAGTAAAATACAGGCAAAAGAGAGGCAGAGAGACGGGGGGGTATTATTCTATTGTGGTAAAAGATGTTCAGGTTCAGCACGCCATGTAGAGTTTCACATCAGGTGAAGGAGTCAAGAGTGGGGCCCAGCTCCACGCAGAGGAAACTCCGGTCCCTCGGGCGGTTTTGGTTTAACAGCTTTCCCAGAAATAGAGCAGAAGGATAGTGGTGGTGGTGGTGGGGAGTCAGGAAAAGGGACAAACTTTTATTAGGGAATCTTCAGGAAAAAATGTTGTAGACCCCTTCAGGATCAAAGGATTTCTCCGGCCAGACAAGTGACTCGCGATTCAGACACGCTTTTGTCTGCCCCCTTAGAAGTCTCTCAGTCTCTTTCATGGACCAACAGCCTCAGTCTGCGAAAAATCGCCATGAAATCATGTTAACACAACGTTGGTTTCTTTAATGGCTTAACAAGGCGATATTTCACAGATCTAAAAATAGCAAACAAGGCTATTTAAAAGTGTTTTCAATGTGTTAGGATTACTTGTGTTGTTTGTCTACTTATCTATGTGTGTGTGTGCACCTATCTTCTAAGCGCGTTTAAGAGGAAACTTTCAAAGTCTATATTAAATTATTTTGAGTTTGTCATTTGTTATGTAGGGAAATAATTAGATATACCCTACTTTTTTACTATTACTAATTGTGTTATTTCCGAAACTATATCTTTGCACTACTTTAAAACATTTATGACGAGAACTATTTTTTTATGGTAATCTTAAAAAAGACCAATACAAATATTCACTGAGAAAATGAGGCACTAATTAGAAAATTCTTGACATTTAGAATTAATCAAATATTTTTTTCCCTCCAGTCAGACTTCATCACACTGTTAAGACACAGTTTCTAGCGATTGTGCATTCAATCCATAGGATTTCATTTTACCTTTGTTAGTCTTCCTTAAATCTGTCGGGAGAAAATCAAATAAGGAAAATTAAAATGATAAATGTCCGGATTGATCTGTTAGTGTCTCACTGTGCCCAAGCAAACTTGGCTTTCCTAACTCAGCTGTTTTTTTTACTTTGTATATGCATGAATGTATAATAATCTTGCTCACCATTTGTAATAATTGTAATGTAATTTAATACTGGTTTATGAATCCTTGCAACATGTAAGAAGTGTATATGTATGGGATCAGAGTCATATCCTTTTTGATATGTGTATAGAAAATATTGTTGGGTTGTTGGTGCACTGTTGCCTTTCATATTGTTGATTTCATATAGACTGATTAAAAAAAAAAATGTTAATGAATGAGACTGATATAAACCACAAGATACTGGTCTGAAGTTTTTGTTTCCACTCTGCTTTTAAGTATTATGAACATAGATGTATTAGGAAGAGAGAAAGGTCATGATTTCTTCTTGCCTTAATAGCGCCACCTGGTGGTTTCTAACTAATACTGCAGAGTCAATCATCAAAATAGACTTGATTGCATTTGGCAATAATGTAGTTTAATGCAACTTAGAAGCTATAATAACAAAGTTCAGAAAGGATGCAGTAGTTAGAAGACCAAAATAGTTTAAATAAATTTCTACCTATACCATTATTATCTTATCTAAAATAGTTTGTGTGTGCTTTTGAAGATAACACAATTTGCAAAATGTCATTTGCATTTATTTAAAATTAAAATTGGCATTTACATTAGTTAAAACTTGAAAAGTACATATAAATAAAAAGAAAAAATACATCACAGATAGTGTTAAACATTCGCCATATATTTTAATTTACATTACATTTACACAACATGTAAGTCTTGTTTTTAAGCTCCACTGCTCAAGGTTTAGCAAAAGGAACCTCTCAAAAGCACTTACATGGTGATTTATGAATCCACATGCAACACAACCTGTTGTGTCTACTGGCTGGCCACAGTAGCTGGAAAATAAAAATTTCAAGTCACTTTTTACTTATTTTAACCAAAACTATCTTCCCCAAAATGATGGCCAGCTTCAGACCAAAGTGTGTAGTTAAGTAGATAACTTGCTGTAAATATGGCTGGTATTTTATCCCACCCTGATCAGGAGTAATTATAGTGTAAAAAGACTAGTGCTTTACCTTCCATGGCCAAACATATTAAGTTATTATAACATAATAACAGACAATGTTCAGACAAAGATGTAGCTTCTGCTACAAAGAGGCAAAATGTTTTTTATCTGTCAGTATCAATTTACTCATCAATGTGTATTTGGCATGCTACACTGTAAACTAAACGTGGGATAAGACAATGGGAATTTGTCAGTGTGTGTGTGCGAAGATTTTCACAGTGACCTCCAGTGACTGAACACACTAAACTTGTGGCGTAAATATTCCAGTGAACAGGAAGTGTTAAAACAATGATGAGCAAACATTAAATCAGCGACTGACTCACAAACAGAATTGAGAGGACCAGACCCGGTAATGAACAGGCTTTACTGTATAGTTTGTAACCCTGATATATAAAACTGTACACAAGAGAAACCAAGTGGCTGCGAGGTTAGTTTTCCAAAACCAAGCTGAGATCTATATTGTTCACTAAAACCTTCAAGTCTTTGCCTAATTAATGTAAGAATACTACAGTGCAATATTCATTATCTCAACCAAAAACGACAAAAATATCATACATATCTACAAAAGCTGACAATAATTTTCTACATTACAATTACTATTCACATTCTTTAGGCTATACTAAAACTGAAATTGTCTCAAGAGGACCTGCTCTTTAATTTAAGAACTCCTGATTTAATAGGCCATCATTAATTCTACTACAAGAGCATTTACACTTTCACATCCATTTATCCTAGGATATATACACTAGTTCATTCTGTGATGGGCGTGCAAGGCCTGGAATCACATATTAATTGTGCCTGACAGCTAGGTCTAAAAGCTAAAAGCCTTATTCCAATCCAATTCTTCAGGTCAACCTCTAAATCCTTGTATTCACATTAAAAGAAGTGTACGTTTACACTTCAGGTTTTTAGTGAGTGGTTAACACTTCAGCGTCGTGCTCAAATGGGTGTTAATGGACAAACACTGGTCATTGTGGGAGTTTAACTGGTGGCTCTCTGACTCCAGGTCACCTTCCATCCACCAAATCTTTCCAGCTCCCACAACTCACCTAAAAGAAGGTATTTCTGAGCAGCTTTGCTGCGTTGTCACTGATGTCACTCTGTGTCGACACTTTCACAGCTGGCGACGCAGTGCCCGTCTGTCTCTCCACATGGCTTGTACTTCTTTGAGGAGCAAAGGCATGATGAACACAATGCTGCCCGCTGTCTGTAACATAAAAACACAAGAATCAAAGTGGCACAGGAGTTTCTGATTATTGCTTTGTTCATTTCAAGGTTCAGTGTGTAAGTTTTAGTGGCATCTAGTGGTGAGAGTTGTGAATTGCAACCAGCAGCTCATGGTGCATTCACATGCTCCTTTCATTTACAGAGTTGTGAAGTTGTTTCTCCAACTTCAGTGTGTGTTCATGTGCTCATAAGTCAGAATGTGGAATCAAAATGGGCGAACTACAAAGATGTGTTGGATGAGCAGTATCAAAGCGTATAAACAACCCACAGACATTTAGTTCACTCTACATGGAAAGCAAACTAACTGTTAAAACCATATTACAAATTACATGTTTGCAAAATATGTAAATGCCATATGAGATTTTAAACATATCAAAATTCTGTATACGTCTTTATGTCCCATGTACACTTTATTTATCTTTTTGCAATAAAGATTTAAGGAGGAAAAAAAGATACTGATTATTCCGACACCCCTTGAATGCACCATCAGTCACCGCTCACCCATCCCTTTCCAAGCGCGCAGGAGAAGCTACAGTGGCCGCCACGCTCTGTTGGCTCTTGTGCTAAATAATACCTAATAGTCCATTTAGGCAACTGTAGAAACATAGCGGTGCAACATGGCGACTTCCATGTAGTAATAAAAACATAACGGTCATTATGTAAGGTCTTTATATACCACTGAAAACATAGTTATGTATATTATATTGCATTTCTGTAAACAGATCCTCCTAAATATAACACACTGAACCTTTAATGTTATTTAATGTTGTTTCCAACAGTGATCAAACAAGTGATGATAAAACATTAAGTTGGAAATCAAAATGTGCTTTAAACCCATGCTAAACATACTACATACATGAATATACTTGGTCAGAATTTAACAATCATGCCAATGTGTTATATCCCAGCAGACATTTTGACTTGTCATATGACAGTGTGACGGCGAGCCAGCATGACCACAACTTATCATTTACACCTGTGCTTTTCCTACTGTTACGTGTCAAAAAGTCTGTTGTGAATCCAGGATGTCATCTTACCATGACGATGAAGAAGTAGAACACACTCATCCAGCCCAGCTTGCTCTGAATCAGGGACACCAGGTACTAGAGGATGATATAAACGAACAAAGTCAAACGTCAAGCAGTGGGTGTGACTACCTGCATCACCATAGGCGTGTTTTATGACGGTGTCAGTGCAAAGGAAAACCCACTGATGCTGGAAAATGATTGGCTTGTCACAGACAAAATGATTTTAGCTAGCAAAACCAGATTTACATTGACGCAAAGATACAGAATATTTACTTTAAGTACTTTCCCTCAACTTTGTAGTGCTGCAGTACTCTCATAAGTCAAGTTAATTCAGAAAATAATGAAATAATAAAAAACTATTTCATAATGCCAGTTGCACCTAAAAACTTTAGTGGACGACTATCTATATAACCTAAATGAGAAGCAAATATAAGTAGATTTACAACTTGTAGCTCTCGGGTTTACAATTAACTAAGATGTTTGGTGCATTGGAAGACCTGCAAGAGCAAGCTAGCGATTCCAGTACAAAATACAAACATTGTGTCAAATATATGACTTTCAGCATACTGGCTCTATTTTGAATGAAGTAGGACAAGTCAAAAACAAATGTTTATGTCCTTTAGTCTGTAATTTAATCTTGTGTTTTGCCACTCTTGAGTTTTTACTACATATTTTGTATAGTATAGTGAAATGTCCTGTATTTCTGCTTACCTGTCCCCCAGCAGCTCCTATACTTCCAGTTCCATCCACTATGCCAGTGACAGTAGCCAGAGCCTCCTGGCTACCCCTCAGAGCGTCCTGCCTGCCCAGGTCAGCAGAAATGGCGGAGCTGATCATATTAGATGGACCGCCAATGAAGAAGCCGGTGGTAGCCAACAGCACAGCGTTTATCACCTGGTCGTTAGGTGAGCCTGAGAAAGGTGGAGGAAGAGGCAGAGAGAGACTGTTGTAACAACACCATCAACCGCATTTAATGAGGGTTTAGTCGATTTCATTACTCCAAGTCAGAACGCAAAACGGTTCATAGACATTTGTGAACCCAAAGAGTGACTTTAAGCTGTGGTGAGTTTTATGTGTCAAAGTCCAGAGTTGAACACTGAATATTTTTTTTGAAGGACACTGTTGGATCTACACAATGATGTTTAGTATGTACGCAAATAATGCTGCAACTAATGATTATTTCCATTGTCTTTTTGATTAATCAATGAATCATTTAGTCTCTAAAACGTTGGAAATGGTAAACAAAAAATAATAAGGCCACCCCCAATATCCAATATCCCAAGTTGATGTTTCATATAGTTTTATTATCAAAAAAAAGGAGGAAAAAGAAAAGCAGCAAATCTTTACCTTTGAGCAGTGGAACTAGCTTGAAACCTAATTATCAGATTTGTCGTTTGATTGATTTTCTGCACACTAACCAACTAATTGTATCGACTCTATACTCACGGCTGTATCCAAACAGGGCTCCCATCGCCAGCACCAGACTTAAGCCCAACACCGGGGCTCTCTTTCCCATGAAGTCAGAAATCAAACCCTGAACTGTCCCTCCTGACACAAAGAAACACGACAGAGAAAAAGACAGTTAACGTCCAAACTCTAAGGATGTTTACTGATAAAGGAAAAGAGATGTCTTACTTTACGCTAAAAATGCAGTTGAGCTATACAATAATGAATAAGGCTAGCAAACACTGCGATATACTAGCCACTGTGGCTGCTGGACCAATAGGTCAGCTTCTGGGATCAGAGAAAATTACTTAAATAATGAACCCAAAATGCATTTATTACTTATTAACTAGTTTGTATTAATGTATATTTCTTTTTTAATCCAATATATGAGCCTTGGCACATACATGCTCTGGTCTCATATCCAATTAAATCTAATGCGTTTATTTATTTCTATGATTTAACAAAAGGATGGAAGAAAATGCAGAAATTTGCCTGCCACTCACCGATGATTCCTCCCACATCATACCACACAGACAGC